CAAGTCAAATAGAGTTTTCAACAGGCTCATCTCGTCCAATAGCAATTATTGCCTTTGATTTCAATAATGACTCACTACTTGATATTGCCACCGCCAATTATGGAACTCACAGTATTAGTATATTCTATGGATATGACCATGGAAATTTTTCGCCTCCAATTACGTATTCAACAGGTTATGATTCTCTTCCATCTTCATTAGCTGCTGGAGATTTCAATAACGACAACTATTTAGATATCGCCATCGCTAATTATGGTACGAATAGTGTTGGTGTACTTTTTGGAAATAGCAACAGAACTTTTGAACAACAAATCACGTTTTCAACTGGCGTTGGTTCTCATCCGTACTCAATCGCCGTCGGTCATTTGAATGCCGACAACTTTCTCGACATAGCTATCGCGAACTCTGGAACTCATCAAATAGATGTACTTATCAACAACGGCAATACAACTTTCACTAATCAAGCTGTATATTCCAATAATTCTACGACTCCATATGCGATTGACGTCGGAGACTTCAACGAAGATAATCGATTAGACATTGTCATAACTAATAATGGCATTGAAAATATAGGTATACTTCTTGGATATGGAAATAGCAGTTTTAAAAATCCAATCATGTATTCAACTGGATCTGATTCTTCGATTTCCGTTGCCATAGGTGATCTTAACAAGGACCATCGATTAGATATTGTCGTCGTGAACAATGATACTGGTAGCATAGATATTTTCCTTGGTCAATATGAAGGTTTCTTAAATCAAACAAACTATCCAACTGGCTCTTATCCATATTCTGTAGTTGTTGGTGATTTCAACAATGACACTCGACTAGATATTGTTGTCGCCAATTCGGGTAGCAATAATGTGAGTGTCCTTCTTGGATATGGAAATGGTTCTTTTGCAAAAGAAACAAAATATTCAGTTGGCACTTTTCCATCATCTGTGGCTGTTGGTGATTTCAACAATGACACTCGACTAGATATCGTTGTCGCCAATTCGTTGAGCAATGATACGAGTGTCCTTCTTGGATATGGGAATGGTTCTTTTGCAAAAGAAACAAGATATTCAGTTGGCACTGTGCCACAATCTGTAGCTGTTGGTGATTTCAACAGTGACGCTCAACTAGATATCGTTGTCGCCAATGATCGTAGTAAAGATGTGAGTGTCCTTCTTGGATATGGGAATGGTTCTTTTGCAAAAGAAACAAGATATTCAGTTGGCTCTCAACCATATTCTGTAGCTGTTGGTGATTTCGACAATGACACTCGACTAGATATCGTTGTTGCCAATTTGGGTGGCAATGGTGTGAGTGTCCTTCTTGGATATGGGAATGGTTTTTTTGCAACTGCGACAAACTATTCAGTTGGCTCTCTCTCAACATCTGTAGCTGTTGGTGATTTCAACAATGATACTCGACTAGATATAGTTGTCGCCAATTTCAATAGCGATGGTGTGAGTGTCCTCCTTGGACATGGGAATGGTTCTTTTGCAGAACCAACAAGATATTTAGTTGGCTCTTCTCCAGAATCTGTAGCTGTTGGCGATTTCAACAACGACACTCGACTAGATATCGTTGTTGTCAATTCTTGGAGCGATGATGTGAGTGTCCTTCTTGGATATGAAAATGGTTCTTTTGCAAAAGAAACAAAATATTCAGTTGGCACTTTTCCATCATCTGTGGCTGTTGGTGATTTCAACAACGACACTCGACTAGATATCGTTGTCGCCAATTCGTTGAGCAATGATGTGAGTGTCCTGCTGCAATATAACAGAGGAGAGATAGCACATAAAATGACCTACGCATCTGGCGGTGGATCCAGCCTGCAATGTGTAGTAATTGGTGATATAAATAACGACACTAATGTGGATATCGTCTTGGCTAATTACGGCACTAATAATATAGGTACCCTTTTTGGATATGGAAATGGCAGTTTCGAAAATCAAATGATGCTTAGCACCGGCTCAAATTCTCATCCAGCTTCGATTGCTATTGGCGACTTCAATGGTGACAGTGTAGTAGACATTGCTGTGGCCAATTATGGTACAAAGGAAGTAGGTATGCTGCTTGGATATGGGAATGCAACATTTGCAAGTCAAACAAGTGAAGGAATTAGTTTCGATTCACGTCCGTTAGCTATGGCTTCTGGTGACTTTAATAATGACAAACGATCGGAAATCGCTATCATTTACGACAGAAATGATAATGTGGATATCTTTGTTGCATACAATCGTGGTTCTTTTGTAAAAGAAACAAGATATTTAGTTGGCTCTTCTCCACGATCTGTAGCTGTTGGTGATTTCAACAATGACACTCGACTAGATATCGTTGTCGCCAATCCGGATAGCAATGATGTGAGTGTCCTTCTTGGATATGGGAATGGTTCTTTT